GTAAAGAGTGATATGCGCGAGATGAGTAAAGAGCGCGAATGCCGTGTAGAAGGAGGACACTCGCCGGAAGTCGTAAAGCGTAGAGGCAATGCCCGAGAGTGACTAAAGGAGATATGCCGTAGGAGCTGGCGGAGATGTGAAGGGAGAATGCGAGATGTGAAAGGAGAATGCGCATGATAGTAAGAAAGGCGGAGAATGTAAAGGAGAAATGCGAGATGAAGGAAACGGAGTAAGGGAGCGAATAAGGAGATCGATGTAAGGAGAGGAGATGTAAAGGAGAAAGCGGACAGGGAAAGGATGGAATGTTAAGACAACGCGAAAGGAGTACTGAAGAGAAAAAGCGGATAGGAAAAGGGGGCAAAGAAAGTGACAAAAGACTTCCGTAGACGTAAAGAAAGCACGACAACAGTGCTCAAAGGTACAAGGGGGGGCTTGGCGCAAGAGCCGTCGCGACGGAGAAGCGGGCCAGGGAGGCGTCGACGGGAAAGCAGCCACGGACGTCCACGTGCTGCTGTCCTCTGCCCCTCTCACCTCCCTCCCCCTTCCCCGTCCAACGGTCCGGCCCCTTGCAACGCTCTGCGGGCGCCCGCCCCTTCGCTGCGCTCCAGGGCGACGCCCCACGGAAGTCTATAGAAGGACAGAGTCAGATTCAAGACCGTCAAGAGCGGATAATGTGTGTAGGCTAGCTACACCTACACGAAAAAGTCACCCAGTGGTATTTTAGCCCACAAAACGGGGTAGTGGCTCTCGCTGTGGTATCCACCAAACTGCTTAACCTGATGCACAAGCGTGGCCATTGGTATCTCACAAACCAAACATCAATTACGCCAGCCTATCTGCAGCTAAACAACAACGTTGTCTTCAATTTATCACTAATTCAATTTAATATTTGTAACTCATGTAGAAGCAATGTATCTTTTGATTCACATAATATATGCATTTATGTGTTAATCTATTACCCAAAGGTTTCAGTAATCACTCAAAATTTCCCCTTGCAGACCTAGACCTGCGAGTAATAATAACAGGCACTATTATTACAAATTGTCTGGGTGGCCCGTTCGTGCTATTTAAATTAATAAGTATATCTTAGGAATGTGTGGGAAGGGGTCGAAATAACTTGTTACAACACAAGTCCCACTCGCTCGACCCAACCTATCCAAAGTAAATTAAATTAATATTACTTACTACCCAGCAACGTGGATTACCTTTAAATATTTACAACATTTGTAAAGTTCTGTTTTATATCCACGTTTTTCTGGGCGTGTTCACAGATTTTCTGTGCAGTCTCTTTTCGTCCATTCGCAGGGGGCATCGGATTGGAATTGGTTTTGTGGTTGACGTAGAACTTACTCCTCTGAAAAGTGTATACTGTTCTGCTATCACCATGGAATATATTCAACACTCGGATCGTGAATTTGTAGATAAAGTATTTAGCAACTTAAAAGAAAATGTGATAACTGCAAACAGAAACCTTGGTTCAACAAATTGTGTTTACTAGTGACGTTTTTGTTTACTAATGTAATGTTAAACCAAAGTTGAAAATACTGAAATGAGTGCGCCGACATACACTTTAGTTGCATTGATTGAGATTCCGGGCGCTCCAACTGCTAAGGTCATTTAGTCCGTAAGTGGCAGCGCATGCTCTTATCGCGCGTGAGGTGAACAGTGCTCTTCCTCTGGTGGAAGGCCAGATTCGCCGTCGATCTATCCGGCGGATTGCGGAGTTCACCCCAGCCAGGTATCTTCCACCACGGGACAATCGCAGCCTGGAGAAACTGTACGCTTCCGACCGATCTCCTGAGATGTGTAATGCATGTAAGTGTAGTGAAAGTAAGGGATGAGGATAGGACAATGAAGAGGAAGTACGGTCACGCATAGTCAGTGTCCGGTTTTTTTATGTATTGCTGAATTCGACCTAGCAGTAATGCAGCTATGTCGAAATACCTGGCCCCGTTGTGAAGTTTCGCAACCCTACGGATCCAGGCTCAGTTGATTCCACTGAGTAATCTATGCAAGTCAACTTTAGTTCCAGTAGGCTTACATTACTATAGTGCGAAATTCACAAATCTTAAAGATATTAGCGATATAGTGTAACGAATATTGGCATCATCTGCCGATTCGCTGCGCGGATTGCATCATCTGCCGGCGCCCCTTTTCCCCCGACTTGGACGGTTCCAGGTTATTCGTGAGCTGTGTAGAGGTGTGGCCACGTTCCGATGGCTCGAGGAGAGCGCCGGCCAAGTATAAATTCGCCGTAGCTGGCGGCCGCGTATTCCAGTAAGTAGTCAATAAATAGTAGAAGTATTA